TTAGGGCGGTATATTAAAGGAAATGTATATCCAGCTTTAGGGATGTATTAAAAGGAATGTATATCCATCTTTAGGGCGGTATTAAATGAAATGTATATCCAGCTTTAGGGATGTAATAAAAGGAATGTATATCCATCTTTAGGGCGGTATTAAAGGGAATGTATATCCAGCTTTAGGGTGGTATTAACGGGAATGTATATCCATCTTTAGGGTGGTAATAAAGCGAATGTATATCCATCTCTAGGGCGGGTATTAAAGGAATTGTATATCCATCTTTAGAGCGGTATTAAAGGGAATGTATATCCAGCTTTAGGGCGGCATTAAAGGGAATGTATATCCATATTTAGGGCGGTATATTAAATGAAATGTATATCCAGCTTTAGGGATGTATTAAAAGGAATGTATATCCATCTTTAGGGCGGTATTAAATGGAATGTATATCCAGCTTTAGGGATGTATTAAAGGGAATGTACATCCATCTTTAGGGCGGTATTAAAGGGAATGTATATCCATCTTTAGGGTTGTATTAAAGGGAATGTATATCCAGCCTTAGGGCGGTATTACAGGGAATGTATATCCATCTTTAGGGTGGTAATAAAGTGAATGTATATCCATCTTTAGGGTGGGTATTAAAGGAATTGTATGTCCATCTTTAGAGCGGTATTAAAGGGAATGTATATCCATCTTTAGGGCGGTAATAAAGTGAATGTAAATCCATCTTTAGGGCGGTATTAAAAGAAATGTATATCCATCTTTAGAGCGGTATTAAAGGGAATGTATATCCATCTTTAGAGTAGTATTAAAGGAAATGTATATCCATCTTTAGGGCGGTATTAAAGGGAATGTATATCCAGCTTTAGGGCGGTAATAAAGGGAATGTATATCCATCTTTAGGGCGGTATTAAATGGAATGTTTATCCATATTTAGGGCTGCATTATATGGAATGTATATCCATCTTTAGGGCGGTATTAAAGGGAATGTATATCCAGCTTTAGGGCGGTATATTAAAGGTAATGTATATCCAGCTTTAGGGATGTATTAAAAGGAATGTATATCCATCTTTAGGGCGGTATTAAATGGAATGTATATCCAGCTTTAGGGATGTAATAAAAGGAATGTATATCCATCTTTAGGGCGGTGTTAAAGGGAATGTATATCCAGCTTTAGGGCGGTATTAAAGGGAATGTATATCCAGCTTTAGGGCGGTATTAAAGTGAATGTATATCCATCTTTAGGTCGGTATCAAAGGGAATGTATATCTATCTTTAGGGCGGTATATTAAGGGAAATGTATATCCAGCTTTAGGGATGTATTAAAAGGAATTTATATCCATCTTTAGGGAGGTATTAAAGGGAATGTATACTCAGACCAATACACACAGCCAGGTAGTCTGCTAGAGTTTACTTTATGAAAAAGGTAATTGCTGCAATTATGCATCTGGAATCTTTCTGAAAGATGAACAATGAAGATGGACTTGTCTCCTGTGTCAGTATACTATAATGTTCTTGTTCTACAATGTAAACCGTACAAAGTCAGAACATAAACAAACAAATTGTAAACATAGCAGACAAAAATCCTACAGCTTTTTAGTAGGTTTCACTATACTAAATCAAAGAATTATTTAAAATACTTTATCGAAATCCTCACTCACTTCCAACATTTTTTGGGGCACCCCGTGTTTATTTAAAAGAATGATTTTCCTATTTCTGAATTGTTTTCAAGATAAATATTGATTAAGTACAGTTTAACTCAGTACTGTACAGTTTAACTCAGTACTGTACAGTTTAACTCAGTACTTGCTAACATCGAAAGAATTTACAAAATCTATTCTTGACAATTTTTTAACAGGTTTTATAATATTATACCTCTATATCAATAATTGTTAAAAAAAGCTATTAAATATGCAGGAACAGTTTTAAAGAGCTCCATATAATTATTTAAGTAAAAAACTAAATATCTGAAGCATTCCATTATCAGTCCAGTTAAGAAAACAACATTTTATAAATTTATTCTTTGTCTCCTAAGTACTGGGTTAGACTGTATATTTAGAATAATAATTTTCTTATTCCTGAATTGTTATCATGATTGCCAGCAAATGTACTAAGAATAGCTCTTGCATCTCTAAATCTTCGGTTGCTAGCTCTTGAAGCTGCACCTGAAATATAAAAATACTATATTAGAATTTTTGAAATAAAGTTTTTTTTTGTCCAAAAATTTTAATTCTTTGGACAAATCCGGTCCCATAGTTAATTTACTCGTATTGAGAGTACACAAGAACTTATTTCTTCCAGCTCAAAGTTTACAAAACAGGATGAAGATAATATTAAAAGGATAATTCCAGAATCAAATTAAAACATTAAAAAACCAGATTGAAATATTGAGTATATACAAGTTAGTAAAGGTATAAACTTTAGAAAAAACCACCTGGCTTTTTATATCTAACATATCTAAAACATACAAAAGTGTATTTTTTACATTTTTTCTTCAAAGACTGTTAGACATTGTGTACCCTATGATTAGCCTTATATTGCTGCATTAACGGTTTGTCTGCAATGCTTCAATTTCAATTAAGTGCTTGTTAACTAAACGATCTAAACCATCCTAAAGTGTATTTCTAACATTTTTACTTCAAACACTGCTTGACATTGTGTACTTTATGTTGCTGCATTAACGGTTTGTCTTCAATGCTTTAATTTCAATTAAGTGCTTGTTAACTAAACGATCTAAAACATACTAAAGTGTATTTTTAACATTTTTTACTTCGAACACTGCTTGACATTGTGTACCTTATGTTGCTGTATTAACGGTTTGTCTTCAATGCTTTTAAATCAATTAAGTCCTTATTAACTGAACGTTCTAAAACATACTAAATAAAGTTTTGCTATACCAGGTAACTGCAGGAAATATTTAAACCGTTAATATTTCCGACTGCGAAGATGTCAGGTTAATAATACTGGACTATTGTCATCGACATCGACATTCTGGAGACTTAATGTTTGCAGGATATCCTCTGATTAGTTCTTTTGCACTAACTGCTTGTCTGATGCTTTCAATTTAATGTTGGGTTATTCTAAAGTTTACAGACACATCATGTAGAAATGGAATGCAGATCAGAATTCAAAATTAGTTTGAAGAGAGTTATGTGGTAAATAGATGTAAGGGCACCCCAGGCCCACTTTTTTCTAGATTAAGTGCCACTAACACTGGCTATCACTTTTAATGGTGTATGTTTGTTTACCATGTTCTTATAACTGTACTACAAATTAGAATTTAAAGAACAAACAGTGGTCCTGGTTAAATGTAAGGCCAACCAATTTTTACCTGTTAAATGATGATGTTTTGAATTTTCTAATTCATAGTTTAAAAATTAAAGTAAATATTTATAAATATTTTCGAAAGATTCTGAATTTGATTCTAAAATCTGACATCAATACGGACTGCATGAACTTCATTGTGGTTGCACATTGCACACCCATGACCCCTTGCGGATCGGACCTTGCATTGTCTAGCACCTCTTATATGCTATCCAAGAGTAACCAGTCGTCATACTCAAAAATCCAAATTTAATACAGTTTGTAATTCACGCTGTATTTCCATTGTTCTAAAAGCATACTTCTTTTAAAGGAATTCATTTACACTACTTGATATTCTTCTGACAGGAAGGAAAAGTCCCTTTATGAGGCAATAGGTCCATATCCCATTTATAAATAAGTTTGCTTGTGGGCAACTGAAATGCAATTTCTCGTCCTCGGTCCCTTTAAAAGGTGGAAAACAATGATATGATTATTTCTAACTGTGCAAGTGAAGACTGAAGACATTTACTTAGCATGTTATATAGCAAACTTTAGTTTAGTTTAGTGCTGTGGGTTCTAGTCTAAGTTTAGTTTAGTTGGTGCTTGCAGACTCACTCCTTGATCTCTCTAGAATTTGTCCCACTGAGCTGAGCCTTCTCCTTATTGTGGAACTATCACGAGAGGTTGACCTATAGTTGAACTTTAAACAATTTAAATTTGTTTGAGGCTGGGCGCTCGCCGCTCAGAACAGCAAACGGTCGTTTTTTCAACAAACATTTAATGAACAGGAGTTCTTGTTAATAACTGTTTTACTCTTCAGAAAGGAATGGAGCCTTAGCCTTGAACTATAATTATCTAATCACATTGGCAACAATGATGTTGCAGACCTTAGAAATCACAAGCTATGAACTATGTTAGACTAAATAGTTAAAATATCAAAGGTTTATCACATCAGCTAGGCCGAATTTAAAGAATTTGAATCATGTCACTGAACTGCTAATAACCAGTTCCAACTGTTTTCCAATCTCAAATCATTGACTATAATTTTAACTCGTTCCAACTATGTTTGAACCATGTCTCTTATTTGAACCGCGTCTAGACGAGGTTCTTTAAATTGGGCCTCAGGTTTACATGATATAGGGGATTAAAAATTTGAGTTTATTGCAAAGACTCAATTCCTTTATCAAACACAGTCAGAACTGTTCTTCTAAAAACTAGAACCTTCATAAATTAACAAAAGTGGAAAGAAGGCTCTTTTTTTCTCTTTAACAATAATGACCATTGTACAAGAAAAATAAACTATCGATATTTACCTATAACTATAAAAACGAAACAAATATCTATGGAATGGGACTATTTATGAAAAAAGTGGAACAAACAGTTTAAAATTTTAGGAATGTGCCAGCCTTCAATGTGTGTAAGTATTAACTATTACTATAAACTTAATTTTGTGAATAGGGTTTAGTTCTCAATGTGCAGCTTGTCACCTAGAAAAGTTACTGATTGATTTGCTTCTCTCCCCTTCCAGTTTTAACGGTTGTAAATCCTTGTCCTCCAATGAGAGTCTACGCTTCTCTTGATTCGTTGTGTTCTGGCTACTTCGAGATCTCCTTATAGAGAAGGATAAGATGGAGGGACGCCTTATTGTCGGGAGGAGGTGAAATGATTTAAATGAAGTTGATTCAAACATTGAAGATGCCTCTGAGGATTCAGTTCCTACATCAATTCAGATCTTAGATGTTTTTTTTTACAATAGTAAACCTGGCATATTACCTCTCACATATCATGTTTAAAACTTTGTTAAGTGATTTATCAAAATCAAGTGGACGAAATTTCTTTTTCTAGTCAGCCCGCGATTTATAAAATTAGGGAGAATAAGACTCAGGTCTTAGATGTCATTGAGACTAATAAAGGACTCGAGCGGATTTAAGTTGCAGTTTATTTTCTCCAGAGTTGGGTTTATTAAACCTGTTTAATATTGCATTTGTTGGATTTTCACGTTTGGAATTGGCGAATTCCAGTATTTGATTATGATAAGAATCAACATAGAGACTATTTCTATTCTAAACCCAATCAAGGTCGGTAATATTGTAATATATAAGTGGTAGGAGCTGTCGATCACGTGACACAACCTGTCGTCAGCTGATTCATATAATATTGGTATAAGATTGAGCCTTAAACCTGTGTCTGAGGAATTAAGACTCCAGTCGATGCTTTTGAATTGCGGGCTCTGAAGAGTAAGTTTTTAAAGAAGCTTTATTTCTGTTCTTTTGGGAAATCTTTGCAGAAAACTAATGCAAGTAAAATCATTAAGCTTCTGTTTTCTTGGTTCAGCCAATTTTAGAGAATTGTTGGACCTCACTTCAAAACATTTGATTTTTTAAAAAGTAAAAAAATAAAATATCAGAGTCTTCATTTTAATGTCTACATGCCTGTGTGTGTACATCCTCTTCTAACAAAAGGATGGATAAAATATGAATGATGAATTAAAAACCTTGAAATCTTGTGTCCTGACTAGTCTCTGGTCTGGAATCAACATCATTCATACTTCCACCAGTTTCACTTCTAAAAATTGAAGATTTGTAAAAAATAAAAAATAAATTTTCGCTAAATCTTCCGCGTTGTAAAAACAACTATTTGTTTAAAGCCATCTTTAAAGTCTATTTAAAAACACACGAAGTGAACTGTTTATTTTGACTAATTAATTGTATTGTAAAAAAATTCAACTAATTTATGAATAAAAAAGTACAGTTAAACCCTAAATGAGCCATACATCGAAAAAAATGTATCAAATTTCGCCTTGACAATTTTTCAAAGGGTTTTATACTATTTTACGTCAATCTCAGTATTTGCGATAATAAATTAATAGCCATGAATATGCGGGAACAGTTTTAAAGAGCTCTATATAATCATTTAATTAAAAAACTAAATATCTGCAACATTCAGAAAGTGAAAAATACAACATTTGATGAATTCTTTCCATGTATGGCTTATTTAGGGTTTAACTGTATGACTATTCATCAAACTTTTTGTGGCGTATATTTTCTCAAGATCTAGAAATAAATTGTTACACTGTTTTTCAAAGGAATTGAGTCTTCAAAGCGCAAGTTTTCTAATCCCTATATTTTTGCAATCTAATGATTTAAACCTTTGATATTTTAAATCTATATTATTTACTCCAACAGAATTCATAGTTCGAAATATTGTGTTGCAGAGATATAGGGATTAGGATATTGGAGTTTTTTCCCTTGAAACTTTCTACAAAATAGATTAAAACAATACAAAGGATTTTGAATCTGATTTAAAGTTTGTGTAATATTGTTATAGGTTTCCTCTTTAAATTTAAGTAAAGTAAAACCCACAAAAATGTTGAATAGGACGACATCAGAATAATAATGAAGTGTATTTAAAGTTGTTACAAAGCAAATATGTTTATGAAGTGAAATGGGTCTATTCTTTTAATATTACACACATTTGCTGAGTCTTACGTTAGTTTTTGTCTAAAAGTCCTCTCTATCTTCTTTTTCCAGAGGTTTCTGGTCCCCACTGTATATCCAATATTTGCACCGGACATACATTTTAGATTTTCTATCTGGGTCTTTTCAAGTGATTGACAGTTTTCAGTTTTTAGAAAAACTACTTTGATCGTTTTATTATCAACGTAAAACAAATAAAACCGAAAATATCGATTTAAAAACAATCTCTTTTGGTTTTCAAATGTGAAGAATAAATACCAAATTTTATAATGAATGATCGTTTTTTTCTTCAAAACTTTGATTTGTCCCTTGGAATTTGGTTTTTAAAAGCTTAAAACTAACACAGTTAGTTTAAACTCTGTTCCTTCAAAACTACAAATAAAAATAAATAGTTCTTGAATACCAAAACATCAATATAAAATTCATACTTGAACTGACAAAGCTTTAAGGGTACCATAGTGAATCAGACATGGAGGCCACTTTTTAGAGGCTCTATATCGAGTAAATTTTAAAAGCTAAAACTATTAGAAGAAAGGGCCACTTGGAAAAAAATGCACATTTTATATTTGTTCACCTATTTTCTTGGTTGCTTGGCATTACAATATTTGACTGAGATCCTTTAGATTTTCTTCGCCTGAAACAGCAATGAAGTAAAAAAACGTGAAGTTCAATCAGGGGCGTATACAGGGTTGAGAGGTTATTCCCCCCTCCTCATTCTTAGGAAAGTTAAAAAATTTCAGTCCCCCTGGACAAAGTCCTGTATACGCCCACTTTAATGAATTCTAAAATTTTTAACAGTATCTTTTTTTAAATAAAGAAACTGATTATTTTCTCAAACTCCTTATACATCTACTGACCATAAGGCTGCAAATCTTGTAAATCTTGAATATTCGAGTATGAGAAGAGTAATCGGTTTATTCTTTTTTATAGAAATTGACTATAAAAGCATAAAAATTAACAAAATAAATTTCTTAACAAAACCTTAATACACTAGCTTTTCTTGCCACGCCTTTCCAATGAATAGAGTTGGTTGAACCGCAGTCCTAGACATAAAAATCAGAATTAAAAAATATAAAAATGACAGAAACTAAACTGAGCTGAAAATTTTAGAATGGGATATCCTTAATCCCGTTCTTTTAATTAATCCAGAGATTAATAACAAGAGAAGAACAATCATTATATATTTTCTGGAGACTAAGAAAAAGAGTGGATCAAGCAATAATCCCTATATTCACTATTCAAAAGTTCCCAGCTCTGGGCACGTCAAAACCCTGATGAAGAATGAAAGAAACGCAGTTGTCGATCTAAAACCTTGTAAGCTAATGATTTTTAATCAAAAGTAATAATATCTGTCTATATATAAATTTGGCTTGTCTGTCTGTTTGTATCCAATAAACGTCAAAACGGCTGAACCGATCAGGCCCAATTTTTTTGTGGGACATCAAGTGACAACAGGGAAGGTTTATGAATGATCAAAATTTAAAAATAATGTGTTTTAAAGGTTTTTAATTTTGTAAAAAATTTAAATTCTTGAAAATCCGCGAATTTTTTTTAAATCCGCAAAATTTTTTTCTTCTTTGTTTTTAAATGTAAAACAAAAAGAACATGTTCAGAATTTAAATAGAGGATGGGCGCAAAGCGCCCTAAAAGCCTAGTTAGTCTATATATAAATTTGGCTTGTCTGTCTGGGTGTTTGTCTGTTTGTTTGTATCCAATAAACTTCAAAACGGCTGAACCGATCGTGACCCCAGGGAAGGTTTGTGAATGATTTAATTTAATTTAAAAAAATTTGTGTTTAAAAGTTTTTTATTTTTGTAAAATTTAGAAAATGCGCGAAAAAATATTATGAAATCCGCAAACTTTTTTGTTTTTGTTTTATACTGTACAAAGAGAAGATGCTCACAGATAAAGCCAAAATTAAAAGTTGAAATAGAAGATGGGCGCGAAGCGCCCTAAAAGCCTAGTATATTTATAATATTGTACCTTGAGATGTATTTTCCATGTAGCTTTACTATTGAAACTCTTATCAGCTGCATAACAGCGCCATAAACTCTAAAACAAAATACAGAGGTTACAAGAAAAAATCTGCGAAATATCATTTTGCGAATCTATCTGAAAAAAATTTCAAGCTCAGCATCCGACTATTGTTTGATTTATGCAGAAAGTAACCAAAGAACAAAATTATGTAAGAATTTATCTAATATTGCAAATGAAAACTATGTAGATAAACTGTCCATGAACAAGTCTCTAGTAAAGTCAAACATGATTTACGCGAATCCGGCTAAAAATGCGTGCAGAATTCCACTGTTAAAAGATTTACTATTAATCCAGTCAAATCAAAATGTTTTATGCGGATTTAATTATGATGAAATAGCTGAAATTAGTGACGAAATATGTAAAAACTACCTTTTTTCGTTTTCGACTATATATTAAATATATATTTATTTGTTATATCCTCGTTGCTTATAATTGTGTACGAATAAATAGATTAATAATAGTAAATTCGGCCATTTTCAAAATATTTCCACAACTGAAATATTTGGATAAACATTACAAGAAATTCCGTGGGGAAATATTTTTAAAAAAATAGGTTTTCGCTAAAAAGAAGTTAAATTTCTCTCCTCAAACTCTAATTTCTTATTCATATTATTTTTGCAACTTGATGTGATATATACCTTAGATATTTAAAACTAAGAAATTCTGCAAGATCATAGATTCAAAGTGTAGAACTTTAAATCTATCAGGTTCAAAGAGAAATGGATTAGAAATCAGAGTTTGAGGCGAGTATTCAATTATTGGACTCGAGCTAGGAACTCTTGTATTGTGAATATCGAGATCAGTGCTTGATCTCGATCTTTTGTTAATCTGCAGATTAATTTAATCTTTATTCGATATCCGTAGTATCGCACCTTAATGAGATAACATGAATAGATTAAGCATTGATCCGCTAACTAAAAGTGCGCTGCATAGTAGATATCCAGATCAAGCCGATCGGGATTATGAGGATCAAACACAAAAGTTCCCAGCTCCGAGTATTTACATTTTTTATTTTCTGAATTAAGTAAAGATTTAAAAAAGATATTTGGCAGTTAATGTTTTGTTTTACCTGTATTAAACCTGCTGCTGCTGGTATTTGTCTGTTGAAATGTTTCTGTCTTTGCTTTTGTTGAACTTTCAAAGCAAACCCAGATCCCAGAATACCCTGCAGCAGGGGAATTATTAAAGTTAGACATCGTTTTCTGCTTTGTTTCTTAAACATTTTAGATTTCTTAATTTTTTCGAAGAATTTGAGGTTTACAATGACATGATATCTATAGCGGACAACTATTGATAGTTTTGATCAATAGCTTTCACAAATCGTTTTCGCAAATATTTTCATAAAGCGTTTTCACAAATCGTTTTCATTAAAGAATTATATATTGAAGAAAGCTCAAATATAGGTACAGCAGATAGAGTAAATAATGATATTGTTATTAAAGAGCAAAGAATGATATAGTAAAAAACGAAGCAAATATATTGACGGCGGGCAGAGCAAAGAACACCTTTTTAAATACGGAGCACGTATTCTAACAGAAGGCAGAGCAAAGAATGAAATAGTGAATACAGAGCAAACATGCAGACAGCAGATAGAGCTACAAAGAATGATATGTAAAAAATCGAGCAAACAGCAAGAAGAGCAAGCATGATATTGTAAATATAGAGCAATCATACTAACAGGTGGAAGAGCAAGAATATTATATTGAATACAGAGCAAACATACTAACAACACGAAGAGCAAAAAATATTTTATTGAATACAGAGCAAACATACTAACAGCAGGAAGAGCAACGAATGTTATATTCAATACAGAGCAAACATATTAAAAGCAATGATATTGTAAATACAGAGCAAATATACTTAAATCAGGCAGAGCAAATCATATTATATTGAATACAGAGCAAACATACTTACAGCAGGAAGGGCAAAGAAGGATATTGTAAAAACCGAGCAAATATACTCACAGCAGGAAGAGCAAAGAATGTAAAACCGAGCAAATGTACTAACGTCGGGCAAAGCAAGGAATTAAATAGTTAATACATAGCAAATATACTAACAGCAGGCAGGGCTATGAATTATACATTGAATACAGAATAAGCATAACATACCAACAGCAGGCAGAGCAAAGAATGATATTGTAAATCAAACAAACTTAAAGCAGGTAGAGCAAAGAACGATAAATTGTAATTTCCCATCAAATATGCTTACAGCCCGTAGAGCAAAGAATGAAATAGCAAATAAAGAGCAAATATACTTACAGCCGGCAGAGCAAAGAATGAAATAGCAAATAAAGAGCAAATATACTTACAGCCGGCAGAGCAAAGAATGAAATAGCAAATAAAGAGCAAATACACTTACAGCTGGCAGAGCAAAGAATGAAATAGCAAAGACAGAGAAGCAAGAAGCAACAATTTTGCCCATCCATGTTCTCGGGACAGTATCTCCGTATCCAATTGTAGTCACAGTTATCTAGATTAAGTTTATGTAAAATGTACACACACAGGGGTGGGATACAGGGGGGCGGCAGGACTTTTGCTGCACCCCCCCCCCTGAGATTGTAGAATAGCTAGCATTTAAGGGAAAGAAAACCTAGTGCAAAACTGAAAAAAATAGCTATCTTAAAAAAATTTTCCCATGGTCTTTTGGTTTCTAAATCTGCATTTTTTGTTCCGAAATAAATCTACCACCCCCTCACTTAAATCCTGTATCCTCCCCTGTACACAGTACACACAGGGTTACCCACAAAGATTTCGACTTTAATACCGACCTGAAACTCTTCAATGGCAGATTATACGATTTGACAAGAAAAAAGTTCAAAGTTATTTAGAACTCCAAATTAAACATATAAATTTTGAACAAGTGTTCGTTTTTGTATCTTAAAATAAAGCTATTTAGTACTTTGTATTGTTTCATGTTTTTTTAATGTTTTTTTTTGATAAATTGTATTTTTCCATTATCGGAAATGTGTTATGAAGAAAAAAAACTTACCACTCCCCACCAAAGTGCGTCAGCATAGCTATTAAAATCCGATCTTCCGTTGGGACCGATTGCGTCCTATATTCGATATTACAAAAATCATTCTTTTCCAAAAGTGTTACAATGTTTCAATGACTCTGTTAACCCTTATTAGGATAAATCTACCAGAGCTGAAAACTTTAGAATGGTGGATATCGAGATTGATGCTTGATCCTCTCTCTTTCTTAAGATCGAGACTAACCTAATCTTGTACTCGTATCCTGAAAAGTGTATAAAATTCAACCAATCAGAGTTGCGAATATGAAGCAGATAAATTTAAAATTTGTGCGCCATTTAAGATTAAGAAACGGGAAGGACTCCATAATTTTAAAAAACCGGTTTTTGATTTTTTCTCTACTATATCCAAGAAAGAACGGTTTAAGAAGAAAATCAAAAGTTTTCAGCTCAGGTGTCTTTTTAAGTTTCTTTTTGCCTTCCAAACGTTTAGTGGGTTAAAAAGCAACTTTTCGGAAAAGGGACATTTCAAATATTATGACTACTTTTGAAGGTTATAACGGTATTTTTATTCCATCGACGAACCCCCCCCCCCACTATTTATTGACATTACCTCAAAAATAAGCAACAAGTTTAAACAAACTTTTTTCAGAGACACCTGATATATAGCCTGGAGGTGTCCCCTCGCCCCCTCCCCTTTAGAAGAACTGTGAAGCTGCAATAGTCTAATTTTTTTTCAAAATAAGATCATTCTTTTTTAAAGTGTGTGGAATAATAGAGAAAAAAATATTGTTGACAAATATGCAAAAACAACTTTCAGTATTTATTTTTCCTTCTTTGCAGTCAAATCCATGTGAGCTTTATAAAATAACATTTTTTTGTTACATATAGTGCATTGCCTAAATTTTATTTAAACGTAAATATGGTTTGGTTTTCCATTCTAATTGCAAAATTCAATTCTGTGCTTTTACCAATTTGTTAAATAATTTTTAAGTTTAAATTATATATTATTCCGATATATCTTTTTTTATTTTTTTAAACTAGGCTTATTTTCTTTCCCATTAACAGTTTTAGCTTTTATCCAAAATGTCACTATTTTAAAACGTTCTCAAATTTGCGAGGATGTTTTATTTAAATTCGTGCATTTTCAAATTCAATTAAAGGGAGTGTTCGCGAAAAATGAAAGAGGGTATAGGATTAATGCGATTAAAAAGCGCTTTTGATCGCTACTAATCTTACTTCTATCTGTTGCGTCCATAAGGAGAAAATTGTTAAAAACGACTAATACCGAATAACTTAGCGCCCATGCAAATTGAGAAAATTGCAACATACGACTTAGACCGTAAAAAATCAATTTAATTTCAAACAAATCATTTAGATATTACACCCTATAGTCATCGATTATCTTTCGCCACATTTGTATATAGTTTATATTTTATAATATTTTTTAATTAATTTGTTTTGAATTTGATTATTTCTCTTGCGGCTTGCGCAACTATCTAAGAATGCCGCGGATCACTCACATTTTTCAAAATCAGTTAAAACGTTTTCTAAAAAAATAAAATATTATAAAATATAAACTATATACAAATGTGGCGAAAGATAATCGATGACTATAGGTTGTACTGTCTGAATGATTTGTTTGAAATTAAATGGATTTTATACGGTCTAAGTCGTATGTTGCAATTTTCTGAATTTGTATGGGCGCTAAGTTATTCGGTATGAGACGTCTTTAACAAGTTTCTCCTTATAGACGCAACAGATAGAAGTAAGATTAGTAGCGATCAAAGGCGCTTTTTATCGCATTAAGCCTATACCCCCTTTCATTTTTCGCAAACACTCCCTTTAATGTTAAAATTTTTTCCAAGCAAAATTTTTTAATTATGACGGTCCATAAATCCTCCATGAGTCAGGTCAGGTGAGCTGATTTGCTTAAATATCCAGACAAGCCAAATATATTATAGATGAAATAAAATATCTGAATATTTCCTTTTCGCTGAGGTAAACAAAATACGATGAGAATATAAGGCCCAGGAACCCAATATACAGGGTTGTAATTAGTTCCTGAAACAATATTAAAGTACAGGGACAGGTCGGGATTTTTCATTTAAGCATTTAACTGAAATTTTATTAATTGAAACCTGTCCAATGTCAATGTCCAAGGGTATAATGCAATGAAAGTTATTTCAGAGGTGTACGCATCTTTTGTACTGCAGTGTACTGTCTCTGGGCGGTAATGTAAACACAAGACGGATGTCACAGCCTGACATGGGATCCATCTTTCACAAATAAAATCAATGAAATATTCTGGTCAAAGGAAACTATTAAGTGAATTATCAAAATTATCAAAATTAAATGCTTTTTTCCTCCACGGATACTAAACAAACACTGATGCACCTATTCTTTGTTTACAAATTCCGCACAGAGAGAACTGGTTTCAATATGTACGCAGAGTATACGCAAATGCAATTAACTTTCCTTGCATTACAACCTTGTACATGTCTGTAACGTACAGTAGGATAGGACCTGTTAAACTCTGGAATAGACACACGACTGTAACTCAATAGACTTCAACATTTCAATGAAACGCAGAAAATGTGCACTGTGCACTGATTACTGTAAGTGTTCACTGTGCACTGTTCACTGTCCACTGTTCACTGTGCGAGTGTTCACTGTTCCCTGTGCAGTGTTCATTGTTCACTGTGCATTGTTCACTGTTCACTGTGCACTGTTAACTGTTTCCTGTATAGTGTTCACTGTTCACTGTGCATTGTTCACTGTTCACTGTGCATTGATCGCTGTTCCCTGTATAGTGTTCACTGTTCACTGTGCATTGTCCACTGTTCCCTGTGCAGTGTTCACTGTTCACTGTGCAGTGTTTACTGTTCACTGTGCATTGTTCACTGTTCACTGTGCATTGTTCACCGTTCCATGTGCAGTGCTCACTGTTCACTGTGCATTGTTCACTGTTCACTGTGCATTGTTCACTGTTCACTGTGCATTGTTCACTGTTCACTGTGCATTGTTCACTGTGCATTGTTCACTGTTCACTGTGCATTGTTCACTGTTCACTGTTCACTGTGCAGTGTTCACTGTTCACTGTGTAGTGGTCACTGTTCACTGTGCATTGTTCACTGTTCACTGTGCAGTGTTCACTGTTCACTGTGCAGTGTTCACTGTTTACTGTGCATTGTTCACTGTTCATTGTGCAGTGTGCACTGTTCACTGTGCATTGTTCACTGACCTATTTATCTTAATAAGCTTATTTCAAGGTACAGGTAAAACACCGTCAACAGAGGCGATTACTTGATTGTCGTCTTTCCATTCCACAGTTTTATAGATTCTATTCATTGTCTACCTGTCTACTGTATTTATCGTCTACCTTTCTACTGTATTCATTGTCTACCTGTCTACTGTATTTATTGTCTATGTCTACTGTATTCTTTTTCTACCTGTCTATGTATGAAGACGACCGAGCCTAGAAGTCTCCAGGTTCCCCCCTGTCGGTCAACATGTAGCATTCGCAATATCTGAACAGATTAGACTATCACACCGGACTACCCTCACCAGACTACCACAAATACCTTCCAAAGTACCCCGACGTATCACGAAGTAATCCCAAAGTTCTTCGGAAAACCTTGAAATTCCAAAAGTACCTCAAAGTACCTTGGAGTATACCTGGGAACCGAAGTACTCCAAAATCCTAAAGTACCCTAATACCCTTATTTTCCCTGGATTACCTCAAAGTACTTCAAACGTATCCCACAGTAACCGAAGTCACCAAAAGTACCCCAAAGTACCCAAGTGCCCTATAGTAGCCCAAAGTATCCTGAAATGCCCTAAGGCACCAAGAAGTACTGGAAAGTACCCTGAAGTACTACTAAATGCCCTAAAGTACCCCCAAAGTACCCCAAAGTACCCAAGTGCCCTATAGTAGCCCAAAGTATCCTGAAATGCCCTAAGGCACCAAGAAGTACTGGAAAGTACCCTGAAGTACTACTAAATGCCCTAAAGTACCCCCAAAGTACCCCAAAGTACCCACAAAGTATACCTGAAGGAACCTAATGCCTCTGATAGCTGAAGTAGCGAAGACCTGTCCATTACTCCCAACCGAAAGAACTATTATTGATGCTGAGACAACAATTAGATCTAAACAATATTTAATTTTAAATCATAACAATGAAGACATTTTTTGCCCTTGCGACAAACATTAATTCATTGATAACAATGTCTTTGCAACCCGATGGTGTTTCATATTTCAAACTTTGAGTATTTGTTCAAACAGTATCACAATTTTTAATTAAAGGTCTATGAAGGATTCGAAAATTAAAGTTCGAGACGAGAAATCTGATCCTTGCAAATAAATTGTTAGGTACAATAGATGGCAACCTAGAAATTGTACACTCTCAGTACAGCTGTAATCTTACGTCACAAGTGTCAACTCAGTTATTGCGTCCGACAAAATTATTGATAATATAATATTGATAATTTTAGATATAAGTGCTTATCTTACTGTAAAATAAGTTTGATTTTATGTGTTCTTTATTTTCTGTTTTTACACTTTTTACTAATCTTGGAAAACATGTCAACTAATGTGAGAAAATGTCGTTTTCCTCTTTATATTTAACACTTGTGACGTCGTGTATGATTGGTCCATTTTGTCTGTTGCCACCAATTGTTTTTCATAATCTATTTGGTGTCTGAAGTCAAAGAAAAGATTTTGTTTAGATTCGTTTTTTTGTCCAATACGGTAGGTACAGAAGGGCGCGTTTGTTTTTTTCTTCACTTTGTTCGTTCATTTTCGTAAACGACTCATTTTTTTCGTCTTTTTCCATCGTTAAAAAGAAATTGCTTTCGTTTGTTTTCTAAATTATCTTTCATCTTCCATATATTTAGTTTGCTTTCTCACTGAACGATCGTTCAGTAAAATCGTTCGTTCAGTTTAATCGTTCGTTCAATAAAATTGAAAATTTCGAAAAAATCATCTTTTCAGATAGAAAACAATTGTTCTTTTTTAAAGTTTGTTCAAAAACTCGTTCATTCAGTAAAAAAACAATCCTTTTTAAAAAAAAATCGTTCATGAACGAACAAGACTGTTTGAACGATTTAAAATCGTTCTTCCACCGTTCGTTTTTTTCTGAAGGACACCATCATTCACAAAAAAAATGTTCGTTCAACATGAATATGTATATGCTAATAAGGAATACCTATTACACAGATAGGTTTTCTGATGAATCTAAGTCTACCCAATGCTCCCATATATTTAGATCTACACCCTGCAGCCCACAGACGAACTGTACAGCAACAAATATTCTTTAATCTTCATAGCAAACAATTAAGACATCCCCCCAAAAATATTTAAATTATTTATATATATACAGTAATACACAGTAAGAACCATAAAACAATATTAAGACCAAAGATTAATAACAATACAGATAGAACACTAGATGTCATCTTTTCGAGATTTAAGGTTTTTTGTTCCCAATAACCCTGAGGCAGAAGTCCAAAGGAGTTCCGCGAAGGCAGCGTTGAATTACAAGACAGAAAGAGAGCATGCGCTTAGCTCCTTTGGGCCTCTGCCTCAGGTTTTTTTGTGAACGAAAACCCCCTAAATCTTGAAAAGACGACATGTAGTGTCCTATCTGTATTGTTATTAATCTATGATCTATGATGTTTTACCAATAACAACTGGAATTAATTTGGGACATTTTTTCTAAAAAAAGAATTCCGCATGTCGGTTTTTGGAATTTATCATTAGATTAAAAAAAAACACAAAGAAAAATTCGATTATCAATAAAAAGGTTCATGGTACCGATGTTAATGTTGATAACCCCCCCCCCCCCTCGACAAAAAAAGGATCAAGGAACTGTCATTGTAATAACTGTTTATTTTCGGGTTCTCTGTGAAAGAGACTTGCGCATTTCAAGCTTATAAGAAGCAATGAAGAAATTATCATAATTAAACACTTAAAGATTATGTTGACAGTCCCTTTAAGGAATAAGTTTGATTAAAGAATTCCCTAAATACTCGACTCCAAAGAAAGCCACTAACCAAATTTCCTGAAAAAATAACATATTAATTTTTTCAAAAATGTCACAAAACTGGGATAACAATCAAGGTAGGGATTAGAGAGTGCTGACAGATTTTAAAAAAATAAGAAGATATGACTGAGAGTCGTTTTTATCTTTTAATTATAAATGGCTCATGAGTTATGTGAGTTGTATTTATATCTTTTATAATTGTTATTATCAGACAGATAATGCAATGCAAACATAAATATTTCAAATTAATTTAAAATTAGTAGAAACAAATTTGATGTTATAGCAACTACAATTTTAATTAATGAACCAAATTGTCTAAAATAATTGTTTTACACCAAAAGCCTATTTTTAGATAGAAGTCTAACTCTCGTTAGCTCTCATTAACCGTTAACCCTATAAAGGCTGGGGGGTCTGAATCTATGTAAAGCCTCTCATTAACGTTTAGTCCGTTAACCCTATAAAGGCTGGGGGGTCTCAATCGATCTATGTAAAGCCTGGGGGGGCATGGGAAGCCCCCCAGGCCTTAGTGTATAGGGTTAAAATGCATGTTCAAAGCCCAATTTTTTAAGATTACATCGATAACTCTAATAGTTTTGGTGCTTGGAAGGGTTAAAAAAAATGCTAAAAGGAGTGTCCAAAAATGTAAAAAAAATAGTTTTGTTTTTGTTTTAAACAAATTTTATATTTATACATCCATTTTTTCAGGGCTTTTTAAAATTATAGTTTTTAGATTTGTAGCTTTAGTCACGAAAAAAGATATGGGCTATTTTAGATTTTTTTTTACACGGACCGGACTTTTTATCGCCCTGTACCCTGCCCTATGAATAAAAAAATGTAATCCTTTACATTTCTGTTCATAAAAAGTCCAAAATTTTACGGTGATAGTGTTAAAATGAGATTGCTGGGCCAAAAAAACAAGAGGCGGGAGTCAAACGCCCCCCCCCAAGCCACTATAGGGTTAAGTGACTTGACTAACAAACGAAAAACGTTATTATTATTAGTTAAAAATTAATTAACGAACGAATGTTTAAAAAAATACAAACTTGTCCAGCCCTAAAACGCTTTATAAGTATTTACACTGTATGTTTACAAGGCCCTGCCTCCCTGCTGCTTAAACGGAAATCAATATGAAACATTAAATTATAATACAATAATTTTAACATTTAAATAAACATTAAACATTAAATATCAAGGTCTGACATTTTACTTTAAAGTTTTTGTCTACATACAGTATATCCCATATTACAGGGGACGACAGCAATATCATTGTAAGGGAGTGTTCGCGAAAAATGAAAGGGGGTATAGGCTTAATGTGATAAAAAAGCACTTTTGATCGCTACAAATCTTACTTCTATCCGTTGCGTCTATAAGGAGAAAATTGTTAAAGACATCTCATACCGAGTAACTTAGCGGCCATACAAATTGAGAAAATTGCAACATACTACTTAGACCGTAAAAAATCAATTTAATTTCAAACAAATCATTTAAAAATATTACAACCTATAGTCATCGATTATCTTTCGCCAGATTTGTATATAGTTTATAATTTATAATATTTTATTGTTTTAGAAAACGTTTTCAACGGATTTTGAAAATTGTGAGTGGTGTTGGGCATTCTTAGACAAGAGAAACAAACAAATTAATTAAAAAGTATACATATGGATATATTGTAAAGTATAAATGATTGTTGTGTTATATAGACTATAAATATATTGGTTCCTAATTGATTTCTCTTCTAAACGAAAGTCAAATGTAAAGGATAACTTAAAGTTCAAACTCGTGAAGAAGCTATTTTCCAGTGAAATTTTAAATATTTATAATTCGATATTTTGTCTGAATTCAAGAAAACAATCGGAAAACTTTTTTGCTAGGAAATAGACTTTTAGGGCGCCTTTGCACCCTTTTTCTAGATATAAATATGATTTTAGCTTTTCAAGGCGCCAACTTTTCTTTGTATCGTACAATTTAAAAGTTTCGTGGGTTTTTCTAAAATCCCAGCTGTAATCATTTGAGAAATACCCAACTTGGCTTGATCTGTTTAGCTGTCTGTGTATAGACACAAAGACAAGCCTTTATATATAGGTTAATTGAGTTGATTTAGAATTAAGATAAGCAAGAAAATGACCAAGATTTGTCACTTACAAGATAAAACAACACAACCTACCTGCCATTATTATTTTAGAAAAAGCTTAAAGGGACTGTAAAGAAAAATGAAAGGGGGTATAAGCTGAAACCAAAGCATTTTAGGAGTTGATCGAGACCCACAAGAGTTCTATTTGATGTTCCTGTCTCGTGAAATTGATATAAAACGGTGTCAAATTTATGCGAAAATTTACATATATTTTTAATTTTGTACAGAGTATATTCAGCAATATAAGGAGAAAATTTCTAAAAACGACTTATACCGAAGAACGTAGAGTCCATACAAATTGAGAAAGTTGCAATTTACGACTCGTAACATAAAATAATCAATTTAACTATAAACAAATCATTCAGATATTTACAATAACAACCTATAGTCATCGATTATTTTTCGACGCATTCGTATATAGTAAATATTTTATAATATTTGTTATTTGTTTTATATACAATGCACTTAAACCTTTTTTCCGCTAGGTGTCTCTGCTACGTGTAATCATTCAAAGCATCGAGAGCTGCAGGCATCTGGCGGCCATCTATTTTGGCGTTTTATTTGCATTGTATAAAAACGAATATTAAATGTTAACTATATACGAATGCGTTGAAAAATAATCGATGACTATAGGTTGTAATATCTAAATGATTTGTTTAACATTAATTTGATTTGTTTACGATCTGAGTTGTATCTTGCAACTTTCTTAATTTGTATGGACGCTACGTTCTTCATTATAAGTCGTTTTTAAAATTTTCTTCTTATAGACGAAACAGATAGAAGTAAGATTAGTAGCGATCAAACGCGATTATTTTTCGCCGTACGCCTATACCCCCTTTTATTTTTCGCGAACACTCCATTCAAATTGAAAAAAATTAACTTATCTCGCCTTGGTTATGTCAGGGTGTAAAGGCACTATCTTTATTCAGAAACCATTAAAACACGTTCTTTTATTAATTTTTACTAAGTGTTAGGGCAGAAATTCTTTTCAGCATCAAACCAAAATTGTAGAAATGTTTAAGGTTACGCTAAACTAAAGTAAATTGTAAAAATGTTTGAGGTTACGCTAAACTAAAGTAAATTGTAAAATGTTTAAGTTTACGCCAAACTAAAGTAAAGTGTAAAAATGGTTACGCTAAACTAAAGTAAATTGTAAAAATGTTTAAGGCTACGCTAAACTAAAATAAATTGTAAAAATGTTTAAGGTTACGCTAAACTAAAGTAAATTGTAAAATGTTTAAAGTTACGCTAAACTAAAGTAAATTGTAAAAATGTTTAAGGTTACGCTAAACTAAAGTAAATTGTAAAATGTTTAAGGTTACGCTGAACTAAAGTAAATTGTAAAAATGTTTAAGTTTACGCTAAACTAAAGTAAATTGTAA